TGGAAAGATGAACAAAAATGTCCAGGCTTGAGCACAGTATCTGCTGCAATTCGTGCTTCAACAGGAGCCACTTACATGTCTTATTTTTGAAAGTTGGTTAGTAACTCTCTTTGCCAAAAAAAATAAAACCTGACTTTTAAGTAAGACTTAAGATACCGTATAACATTAAATACCTTAAGGTCTCAAGCTTTCTAGTCTTTCGTATGTTGGAGCTGTTGGAGAGCAGATGTGGAGGCTGTGTTATTGGCTTGAGCAGTCAGAAATACCGACACGTCCTGCCTTGGTGTCAGGCTGTCTGTCGAAGTGAGTAGTCGGTAAGTGCAATATTACTCAGATTAGAAGTAAAATATTCCCAGTTTATCTGAAAAGATGTGGAAGGATGCATCCCATTCCCCTGAATTTGAATCAAAGAGATGATTTTAGTAGTCTGCAAGGTAGAGACCTTCAGGCTGTGATGGATGCTCAGGCTTGTCCACCCAGAGCAAGTGTGGTGAGCAAGGCCGTGGCAAAGAGCTCATCTACGAGGTACCAGCACTAACCAGTGCACGAGGAAGCTCCCGGCGTGGCCAGTGGCGGCTGTTGCCAAAGGGCTGACATGGGTGGAGCTGGGAGGTCAGGGGCAAGTTCACGTCTCCCTGAGTCTAGTAGAATTGCAATGATTATTGCATGTATTTAGAAGAAGCTTTTGTGTCTGCCACTTCCCAGACAGAGACTATCACAAATCCTTGTCTTAACAAAAAAGAATGATTTCACATTTTTTAGACAAATTGCTTGCATGATGGAGGAGAAAGGATGTCTGCGCCTTTATCGATTACAGGGTTGGCTTTCTGATCAATAGAAAGTTTTACGTACACTTGAGTGACGTTCACCTTAACAGCCCATCCTTGAAACCAGTCAGCACTAATATGAACTGATGGTTTCCCAGAACCCTGTAGTGTCTGTAACTCATACAGAGGGATGTCGGCAGTCTGGCCCCTCTCTACCGTGCTGCTATGTAGAGAGTTCATTTGTCAGCGTGACTCGGAGTCGTTTCGGTACTGATGCGTGCATGGCCAAAGCACACCTACATCGTGAAGCCTGAGTAAGCGTGGACCAAGCACGAACACAGCTTTTATTTACCGCAGGATTTCCATAAGATTATGTAACTCTATCAGGAAATGAAAAGAACAACAGCAAAATCTCATTAATGGGGAAAAATACAAGTGTGCATAGGAAATATATTCAGATGTCATAAAAATTTGTAGAGGAACTCTGCTTCGCTGCCCCATTGCCTATGGATGAAATTTGCCTGGGAAAAAACATTAGTTCAGCTAAGTAATCCTGTTTGTCTGTGCTATAAATTAATTATCTGAGCATTTTTTATAGTGGTTAGGTTGGAAGAAAGTTTTTTGTTTTGAAAGGTAGGCGCTTTTGTGCATTTTTTTCTGTCTCAGTTTGACTTTGAGGAAGAGATTTGCAGATTATAGGAAGTCGTAACAGAAACCATTCAAACTTGGGGGACTTGTTTTATACACAACAAAATTACCGGGACAGTTAGTTTCTCCGTCTATGAATAACTTTGCATCTGCATGTAGTTCTGTTGTGGGAAGCTTATTCTGAATGTCATTTCATATTACTTATTATGGTACTTTTTATTTAGGGAGGTGGGGCTCTCTTCATTCTTCTTTCAAGTCCTGTTCATTTAGTCCACTGAAATTTGAACACAAAACTTTATGTAAAGAAACACAACTCACATAAACTTCTGTCAACGTACTGGCTTGAGCCATGTGTGGAAATCCCCATGCCCCATTTCCCAGGCTTAGCTGTACTTGTAGGAGACAGGACTTATGGTTTTGGCAGTCTTCCTCCCGACAGAAGACCAGAAATCAAAACAAGCAAATAAATATGACAAGGAAATGTTGCAGAACACAAAGCCCTGACAGGAGCACTTGTCAGAGAGGAGCAGACACAGTATAATTTGCCTCCAAGTAAAGATGGTTTGAGCTAATGTTATTCCCCGTGGTCTCTGCCCACAGCATAGGGATTTTAACAGCTCTGGAGGCAAAGGCAGAAGGGGCTAGTGGACTTCCGAAGGGCGATGAGGGTGTTCGCTTGTGCTCTCTTTGTTTCTACAGATGCTTTTGGTGTCACTGTCCCAAACGTTGCTTTTACTCTTAAATTGGGCCTTTCCTTTCTGTATCACAGCTGCATATTTGGTTGGTTTATTCCCTCCTGGCTCCCAAATACTTGTGAAAATGAGTGCTAATGAGACTATTCTGACGTACTCACCTGACACCACACCTTCATTTCTGCACAGCGGCTGAAGAAGTGCATGTCCCCCATAGCCGCTGTGGATGTGTGCATTTACACAAGCACGTGTGCATTTACACAAGCATGCAGGCACCGGGCGTTTGCAGGAGGGACACAACTGTGCAGTGAAACCAGCTAAAAGCCTCCATGGTTGCCTGGAAAACTCTGCGAGCTCCTAGACGAGAGAATTGCTCAGGCTTTGGTTTAGTTTTGCTTTGGTTGCAGCATGCCTGACTATCCGCTCTTGGTGGAGAGCAAGATAAGTACGTGTCCCTTCAGCGTTTTATGAAACAAAGTAATGCAGATATCTATAAGTGAGACATGACATGAAGCATACAGATAGTAAGTTTGGAATAGTTCTGGGAGTTAAGAATTTACATGTCTTTATTAATTATTAGATGTTATTAGTGAGTGACTAAGGAACTGGGAAGCTCTAAGCGTTCTTTTGAAGTAGTGTACCCAAATTAGGCTAAATAAATAAATAAATCTAAAAATGTCGGGGAATGTCTGCTCTAATGAATTTTCTAAATACACAAATCACACTTATTAAATCAGTGGATCTTTTAACTGTAAAAATATTATTACTGTTACACTAGGGAAATCCATGCAGAATTATAAAATATTTGGAAACTCTTTCTATGTTTCATTTTAGTGGAAAGATTGTAAGTTTAATAGGAATAAAAAAAAAAGGTAAGCTTTGGGATAAAGTTGTAAAAGCCAGCTTTCCCCCTTTCTTTGTACGTGTGCCAATTTTCAATAAGAACTGTGTTCCCCTTTTAGTCTAGTTTAAAATAAACTACATGTATAACAAGATGTTGAAATTTATTTATGGTATGTTAGCACTAAGGACAGGTTGTTAAGGGGTCATAAAAAATATTAGTTTCCACTTTATGGTGGCCGAGTTGGTTTTTCTGCAAATTAAATTTGACGCTACAAAGGGATATATGCGATACATACAACTTTCTCTCCTCCATTGTAATTTCTTTCACCTTAATGCAGCCAACAAAGCCTGTCTTTGTAATAGGAAGAATCTCAGGTGGAGAATTTCCCTTGACCTGTGCAATAAAATTCAGCAGCAGGAAAGTGTGGGGTATCTACACCTGGGAGAGTGTAGAGCATCTGCTTATTCCGTGTGACCAAAGAAACTCTTCTCGTGGTGAAGTAGGCAGGATGAGGTGCTGGATTGTCCATGTATTAGCATTATACCTGCTTTTATTTACCCTTTTATCTAGATTTCACTTTACAGTATTTATCTTACACCATTTGTGTGTTCCTTCATCAAAATATTTAGGCTTGTGTACAACTAAGACAGACTTTCCGGTTAGTATTTCAGAAGCGGTACAGAAGAGTATATTGTTTTATTATTAAAATACAATTTATGAACCAGAAATGATCACAGATGCAAATTTATACTTTGCACATTTTTTTTCTTAATAAGAATATGTATATTTTCATCTGGGGAGAAAGCAGCATTAAAATGAGCGAGCCTGGGGAGTATTACCACACACACAGACACACACACGCGCGCGTACGCTTGCATGCACAAAAGAGCCACAGCGAGCTATTTGCTCGAGAAACAAACTCCTACAAACGGCCCTCGAAAACCCGCACTGGCTCAGGAAAGCTGAAACCCTCCTTGTTTGGCCATCAAGGGCCTGATCCCCTGCGACGGCCCCGCGACGGCAGCAAGGCGGGTGCACTGACAGCTCGTCGCACTTGCGCTTTTGGAAATTGGGGTCTTTCTGATTGGGACTAGCAGGCCAAGAGGAGGGGAAAGGGGGAAATAACTCCACTCACCAGATGGGTTTTTCCAAGCCCTCATAGCTCTAATTAAAATGGCTGGTCAGGAAAAGCCTCCTCTCTTTTCCTTTTCCTGTGCTACCCATGCTGCAACTATAGCTGAGCAGTGAAAAAATTTCCAAGTTTGAAGGATTAGCAGTAAAAATCAGTGTATTTTTTTAGGCTGAGGTGTAGAAATCTGGTCAAAGTTGGTTTTTTTTTCAGCTGTGATTAATAGCCCTGGGTGCTGAATGGGGTATTTGTGGAGGAGAGTGTGACGCTAAGCAAAGTGTTCGGTACAGCAGCTCTGCTCCTGCTGGAGCTTGCTGCAGCAGGGATGAGGACTTTAGGCATAATGTAGTAAAACCTGCTTTGAAGAATTATGAAGTAAGAGACTTAAACGTGTAAGAGTAGAGGAGTTGTGTGCTTTACCATTTCATCAGTGACCCTCAAAGTAATTATTGTTGTTCTAGTAATTTTCTCTTCTTCTTATCTCATTTGCAAGTGTGCATTTTTCATGGGCATTAAACTCCCTGCCTTGAACCTAAGTCTGAAAATTGGGGTCCCTCCACCATCTGGAACAGCTCAGGGTGTAGGCTGACAATGCTATTGTGCCCGATCCATGTGAAGTGGGAGATGTTTCATCTGCTTCTGTTGGGTCTGGATGAAATCCATAGCGAGAAAATTGCTTTGAAGTGGGACTTGATTTACAGTGATGATGAGATGAGCTGGGGAGTATTGCATCCTGATGGCAGCTCCTTGCCAAAGGAAAGGAAAAGGCTACTCGCTGTCCATGGCAGGAGGGTCTCGGGAGATGTGGCTCTTGGTCTGGCCATAGCAGGTGGGACAGTGAGTGGGTTTCTTTGGGGAGTTTTTTATTACAGAACTACACTTGGTCGGATGGTTTTGACTAAGCAGAACAGAGAAGGGCGATGCCCATTCATAGCAACGGGGAGCAGACTGCAGTCCGAGGTAAGGTATGCTTGGTCTGCCGGTGCATGTAAATCTCTTTATGTGCTTTAGCAGAGCAGGAGGTAGTGTAAGGAGTTATGGTCCCGCTGCCCATCTGCATTATTCTACTTGTCTACTTTTGTTCTTCTCTGGTTTGCTTCCTGTTTCCGTATAAAAGTTTATGTAAATTAATCTCAGAACATTCCCCTTTCTTTGCGTCATTAGTCTGCGGTAGATGTTAACCTTTCAGAATCCTCATTAGCTGCCTCAAGACAGGGCCAGTACATGTCAATTATTTTATTAGATGCCCTGCTTATAGAGAAATTTTATAGCCTTAATGTAAAAATGGCGAAATACTGCTCTTCCCTCCACCCCGAGAAGCAAAGCATGCGATATATCTGACTTGGTAAGTCCCTGCATGCTCTGTGCAGAGCCCAGTGTTTGAACTTCATGGTGCTTTGGCTTCATTCTGAAATGTCATTTTGTTGTAGCCATTTCCTTATATTCAGGAAACAATAAAAGCCTCTCTGGCATCCCTGTGGCCTTGTACCATCGCTCCAGCTGAACTCTGCCATGTGCACCTTGTCTCTGCTAACTGCAGCTCTTGGGTCTTCTGTCTTCCAACACAGAGCTCCGTGTCCCACATGTTTGCAAATACTGTCTTAGGTGGTAACAGCGATCTGTGTACCTTCACTTGCCAGGTATCTGTGCTCAAAAGTGCATAAGGTGGTAGCAGAGCCTTCGCTAGTCCACATTCTACACCCAAAGTTTGGAGGAAGGTGTAAGAAATTGCAAGTATTTGAGTAGCAGCTTGGTCTTTTTGCTTGCTGACTTGTCTCTGGTCTGTCACTTTTCATGGGTCTCTCACATCATCTTCTTGGCTTTGGTAAACTTCAGCCTGCATTTGGCTTTTTAGCAGAGCAAGGGATCGCTTCACAACTTGCGAATTTGACTCATGGAATTAAAGTCCTGGCCATGAATTGTAGGTGCGTTAAATCCCCCTTTCTCTACTGTCCTTGTTTTGGTTTGTTAGGGTTTCAACATGTACATGTTTCTGTCATCCAGCAGCGTTCCAGATGGAGCAAGAATATTTAAACTCTTGGTTACTAAAGTAAAATACAGGATATTATGAGCGACATGGGGAATACCAGTTTCACCTGTTTTGTTTCACTTGAGCTTTAAAGCGCCTGTTTACTCGTAGTAGATCTATTTTTGAAAGAAGGTGCAGACACTATTGTGACAGTTGCCTTAGAAATACATATGATAATGGAGGGAGGAGCGCACCCACAGGCAGCTGGTGCTTGCCATCCCCTATCCCTGTCATAGGAGCTGGCCACCCTGCACCCCACATCCTCGTGCACCTCCACGTCCCTCCCCACCTCTTTGCTCTCTGCCCCATACCGGTGCTTTGGCCCTGCCAGAGCTGGGGTGGTGTGGGCTGGAGCTCAGGCCGACTGGGGCAGGTGAGGGCAGGGATCCTGGGAGCTCCCATCCGTTTCCAGCAGAGCTTGTTGCAGATGATGGGTCTGGGGGTGCAGCACGTCAGTGGGAGCTCTGTGCTGGGCACGAATGGGCCATCGGTGGGATGGGTCCCTTGGGCTGTGTGGGGTGCTCCCCTCCAGCCTCATGGCCAGGCAAACTCTAGGCAGAAAAAGCAGAAGGATCCCCAAACTCCAGTCCCCTTTGTGCATTTCTGAGGTGGAAGCAACAATTAGAAGCAACCAATATTGAAAGAGATTTTTGTCCAGAAAGGCAAGAGGAGGGTGGGGAGTCACCAGAGATGGGTCTACTGTGCTGGGGATGCAGGAAGGTGGCACAGCCCGCGACAGGGCAGAGGAGGGACTAACAGCACACCCTGCAAAGGAGACTGTGTTGCCCTGCGGCAGAGCAGCGGGTATGGCGCTTCCTGATGGGACACGGGGAACCTAAAACTGGATGTTCCCAGTGTCAGCCGTTGCGTGGATGGTTTTGCACCAGCGTGCCAGGAAAGTGTGGTTCTTGCGTGGGGCTGAGGTGCTGCTGCTGTGGGTCTCGTATGTAGCACAGAGCAGGGGGCTCCTCAGGCAGGTGTCTCTTCCAGGGCAACCTCTAAATTCCTGAGCATTTCACAGATTAAATATCATGTATTGCAATCAAAAGGGGAAAAAACCCAAACCCACCCTGCCCTCTGGGGGATTAACTTTCAATGACAACCTGTAATAACCGTCAGTAAGAGTATTGATCCCAAGTCTATAATGTAAAGTACGGAAATAGGGCGTCTGCAGGCCCAGTTTTAGAACTGAAGCTTCATGTATTGCATGTATAAGATGTTGATCTTGAGAGCAATGTGGAATATTGGCTGCATTTTATGACACTGTACACTCGTATTTATTTACATAATATATTTTGATGGGAAATACCTGTCTCCAGTGAAGTCTGTGAATCAGAAACACAAAAACTAAATATGAGCGTTGGGAATAAATAGGCTCTGGCTTGTGAGTCAGGTGTGCGGTCCGTGGGAAGGGCTGTGATTCACCATTATGTATGTCCTACGGTCTTCCTCGTTTTACAGAGATGAGATTTTTATTTACAAAGATCCCTTTCTTTAGTTGCAGTTAACATTAAGTTTTGCCGTAGCATTTGAAGAGGCAGGCCCGTTAGCTGCGCGCAGATTTACTGTGCGAGTTTAAGCTAATGGATACTTATCAGGCAGGCTGTATTTGGTGATCGTCCATCATTTGCTCATTAAACAGTGTATCTAAGTGATTCTCATTTCCTCCCTGCCATGTCTGGAAAGGAGGAAACTAGACACATTACGATGGAATATTAATGTCCTGGAGGATTTAGCCACCCATAATTAGATCTCCTTTGCATAAACTTGCTAGTGCTACCTTATTTTGTTGTTTGTCTTGTTCTCCTTAATCACCTTCACATCTTTTTCTGTTCCTATCTTTTTTTTTCAGTTTTCCTTTGTAATTTTTTCCCATTTGTCTCATCCTTCTTCCTTTTTTTGTCTTTTTTTTTCCTTTTTCTTTTTCTTTTTTTTTTTTTTTTCCCCTTCTCCCTGACCTAGAGAGCACAGCAGTCTGGGTTTCCCCACTCCTCCCTCCTTCACACAAAAAGGCTGACTTTGCCAGCAAAACCCACAATCTCTGCCAAGCCCTGTTACTGACTTTGGAAAAAAGCAGCTAGAGAACTTGGGCAAATTTAGGCTCTGAACTAGCTAAATAAGCCATGTCAGTAAACCCTCTTGTCTTATTCCCTGGCCTGCTGGCCCATGGAAGGATTAATATATAACGGCCCTATTTAAGGTGGAAAAAACCCCTCCTGGCTGAGGGCCACCAATGGCTGAATTGGCCGTGCACTGGGGAGGGAACTGGGAGGTGGCTCTGGAGCTGTGAACGATGGAGCTGAGGACCACACATGGTTCCCGTGGGGGGTCCCAGGGTTAGGGCATGGGCGGGGAATACGCCGTCACCTCTCTGGGGATGCCCTGATGTCCCAGTGCTCCTTTCCACCAACCACTGGGGGGGAAAAAAATGGCAGTGTGTTACTGAAACTAAATGGAAACGATCACGCAAGCAAGCAAAATATCTTGTAAACACGGGGAGACCGGGCAGGAATCCCCTTGCAGAGTTGATTTTCCAGAGGGAGTAAGTAGGCTGAAATGGCTGGTACCAAGCCCACCTGGCTGCTTCTGCCAGGTACCTTTTTGCTCCCCTGAATGGTGGTACGGAGGCACCCGGGGGATTTCCCTTTCCTTTTAGCTGCGAGGTATGGTAAATGCATCAGGATGCACTCACAGGCAGCTATTGTCAGTACACTGGCAAATCCGCACAAAATTTTCTATTTTCCTGCGGAATGTGGACGGTTTTGCCCTGCACACCGGCGGGAGAAGGCCCCAGGCTGCTGACGAAGGAGGACAGCCTGGCTCCCTGAGGGCTGCGTGCCCTGGCCCGGGGCTGGCTCCGCACCCTGCTACGCTCCCGGGCAGCCAACTGCAGCTCTGCCACTGCCGTGCTTCGTTTAAAAAAACTAATGTGACCATTTTTCATACTACTACTTTCCTTTGCTGCTCTTCTGCAGATTTTTGTGTTTTGCAGACTTTTGTCTCACCGATATTAGGAGGTGGAGAATCTGACAGGGAACATCTAAGCAGGAGAGAGGGAAAGCCTTACACCCAGCCAGGAGGTGATCTGAACAGAAAGGGCTAGCTGGTTTCTGCTCAAAGTAACCATTTCCAAACTTTTTTTGTCTTTTTTTGCTGTATGCCACTGCTATTTGTGGTAGCAGCTCTGGGCAGTAGGCTGAGTGAGAGCAGGGGTATTCTCATCCTCTTTCAGTTTGAGGAGCGAGCCTATCCACACCTCTCCAAAGACAGACTCTAGATGCACGTGGAAAATACCAGGCTATTTAGAGTGTAAAGATTGTTAACATCCTTTGTGCTCCTGCCATGCCAAGCAGCTGGAAACTGCCCAATTTACAATCCTCAGTCCACAAAGTTTTGAGCATCCTCAGCTCCCTTTGACTTGGTGGAAATGGAAGCTGCTCTGCATTTTGCAGGATTAAGAGCGCTGTATTAAATCCTAGGCTGCGAGTGCTGTGGGATGAGTCACGGCGGATGAATGGTGGTCGGATGGGGCTATTCTGTGTCCTACACTGATTCGGGAGCATGTAATTTCATGTGATGGGAGGGACGGAGCAAAGACTGGGTCAGACAGCAGAGAGATGTGCGTTGAAAGGCAGCAAAGAAGCCTGAAGATTACAGAAGATCACAGAGCTCTTGCTTGTGAGTACCTACAGCTAGGTCAGGGAAAATATGTGATTATTGTGTGGCTGGCTTACAACGTGGATTGGTGCTAGAGTATTTCTCTAGAGGGAAGGCTGTGAATCTTGACACGTACATTACAGCTAATACATAGGCATTGGTGAGATTTCCCCAGGTTTATCCGGGAGCGTTCTGTCACCAACAAAATCTGACAAAATCCTGCAAACTAAAAAGTGGCACCAGTGTTTTCTGCACTCAAAGTATCCTGTACATG